ATATCTCCCATCATTTGAGCGCTGTGTTGTGTTGGTGTAATATTCAATGCATGTTTGATCTTCCTGTGAGATATTAGATTGATCACTAATGTCCTCCGCATCCCAGAATTGTTTCATATCTTCCACATTATTCAATACTACATTGCACTGAAATGTTTTAGCACTTCCGCACAGAAGCCATCCTAGTTGCGTTTGCTGCGCTATAGGTTGAGTGACGTCATCACCTTTGATTATTCCTCCCAGCATTATTTGAGAGTAAATGTCAGCTCCAAATAAAAGATCCACGGAGCTACTTTTGTTGAAGTCTGGATCTGCTAGATTAATGTTTTGCAAGTGAGTCCATGATGGTTTTGTAAAGGATCTGTTTGGAAGGTTTTTGATTAGGTTTTTCATAATGAGTACAGATGTTTCAAACTTAAACTCTTTATATGACGATTGGCATAAGATTGTTATTAGCCCTTTACAGTTTGATTCCCTTTGTCCAACTCCAAAGATAACGCCTTTGCATTTTTGACGTTTCGCACCAATAATTTGCGCGGCATGTTCGGTAATCAATGATATCTGTGACCCTTGATCTATAAGGGCTCGCATATTATGTAAAGTTCCATCAGCACCTTGTACCTTGACTACCGCGGTTGCTAATAGAACCTCATAGTCATTGTTATCTCGAGAGACATTCGCAGAAGTAGACTCTCTTTCTTCATTGCTCTTGTTGCATGCATCGTGTAATAGCGTGTTGTGTTGACCTTTGCACTTTCGGCATCGGTAAATCGATGTACATTTGCGCCCATTATGGCTAAATAGACAATTAACGCATAACTGCAATTTGTTCACTGTGCTTAGTTTTGCGTCATTATTCATTTCTAAAAACTTAGCACAACGATATATGCCATGTTCGTTATTGCAAAGTGGACATTTCAGTGTTAATGTATGAAATGATTTCGTAACCACCTTGTTGCTATCCGACTGGTTGTATTTGTAATTATTGTGGTACTGTTTCTTTGAGTATGAGTTTCCTTGGCTCTGTGAGTTGGATCCATTAGTTTTCTGGATAACATCTTGTTTACGCTGAGATGATTCCAATGAGGTAAACTTTGCTTCTATGTAGTCTAGGAACTCTTGCAACACAGGCAGCTCACGGGAATTTTTCAATGAGTCATTGTAGTCTGAAAGTGTTACTGAGTCCAACTTCAGTGACAACATGTGCACTAGCATAGGATCCCAAGATGTGATATCAACCTCCAAGTTTTTTATAGCGTGTAGGCACTCAACAGTGACATCATGCATTCTCTTGAGTGCTGTTATGGACTGTTGTTGCATGATCGGCATATTGAGCAGCATATTGAAATGTGTGGCAAATATATGTTTCTTGTTATTGAAACGGCGGTTGAGAATTTCCCAACACACCGAATAGTTTTCTGAGCTAATCTGTAAATGCTGTATTAGCCTTTCAGCTTCTCCATGCACCTTGCTCTTCAAAAACTGCATCTTTTGTGCCGGCGACAACGATATATTATTGTGTATCGCTTCAGTAAAGAGGTCTTTGAAGGACATCCATTGATTATATTTTCCGTGAAATACTGGTATTTCTAACTTAGGCGTTGTTTTCTGTTGGTGTGTATTTGCCCACATCTTGGTGTTTAGAGCTCTTTTCACGCTGTTGAATTGCACCTCATACCTCGTGTAGCGTTCGTCATAGGTTACAATTTTGTCGCCGTTAAGCTCTCACTCTATTTCCCAGTGTAGCTTATCAACAGCTGACCAACGCGCTTGTAGTATTTGGAGAGCATCCTCAAACTCCCACTTCTCTGTTATAAATTCCACTTGGATGTTAGCTACAGCTCTCATAAAAGCCTTGAAGTTCGCTGTTTGTTTACGAAGCAGGTCATCCAGCTTTCTGTTGGATCCTATGTCTCTCTTCGCGAGGATATGTTGTTGTTGGCGAGAAGGAGATCTATCTCTGTCGCTGTCATCATGTGTTTCAGATGGATTGTTCGTGTCACCCTCCTCCCCACTCGATTGATTCTCGTTTTCTCCGGCAACACTCTCTTGAACTTGCTGAGAGGTGCTCGGTGTTGGTGTTACTAATTTCCCAGTTGAGGGCTGTAATTGTTTTGAAGACTGTTGGTGTTGGGAAATGATTAGATCTTTCACATCTTGATAAATCTGACGTGTCTTGGTGTACAAAGCAGATGTAAAGTATGGGTGTTTACCGCTTTCTTCTGTTGTGAAACGGTCATGGTTAAATTGAAACTCACCCCATAAAGTTTCTAACATCTGCATTCGCCGCTTGAAATAGTCAGCATTCTTCCTCGCCCAACCGTCTTTCTTGATGTTGATTCCAACCCTCTGTATGTTGTCCGACAGTTCCCTCTGGTTTTGATACATGTCTGCTGAGGACTCCATCATTCACTGTTATACTTCCGTTAAATACAAACGAAAACTTCGATTTTATCAATGCAGACTATCGCTCCACTGTCTCGGTTCTTATTGTGTGATCACCTTTACTTACGATATTTTGCGACTTCTCAATTGATCACTGGTGAGACCCGCTTCTGGGAGGCCAGTGCAACCGATTCGCTAACGTAAATAAATAGTGAATCACACCGTTGCTCGAAGGACCAAATGTAGGGGTTGTAACTCCCTACAGTGTTGATTATAAGTTTATGTTGCAATGTTGGATGTTGTTAATGTTAAATGAGTAGACGACCAATCTCTTAGATAGTTTTATTGCTACTGAATTAAATTAATTATGTAGTTTATAATGTTCCGAAATGCTGATTACGATGATTTAATTATTCGCGCGTATGACGACAAAGTCAATGTACAGCGTAGCTCGTACAATTTGATTTAGCCAAAAAATTAGTTGAATATAAATATTGTAGGAAATTTTCTCTAGTTTAAGGTTTGCTGGATGTTTTCCTCGTGAAGTGTACGGGAATGCACAATTTTTCCATCATTGTGGTCGCGCGCGGGGTGAAGCCACGAAGACCCAATTAATTTTAAAAATCACCAAATAAAGCAGTTTCATGCGAACTTTCATCCACTATTTTATTCCCTTGGAGGAGGAATTGATCAAAATCCTTTCTTAGGGGATGTTTAAGTCATAATTTTTACCTGAATGCTGAATTTCAACCCGATCGATGTAAAACTGTCAAAGTTTCACACAAACTTTTATCCCCTATTTAAGGGTGGAATTGGTCAAAATATTTTCCTTGGTAATGCTTATGTCATAACATCTACCCGCAAGCCAAATTTCAGCCCGATCCGTCTGGTGATTTGGGCTGTACATCACTATGTCAGTCAGTCAGTCAGTCACCTTTATATAATTATTTAGATATATATTAGTAAGATGTCTTACCACGTTATCGATCCAACTCGTATACTTGGATATTCTGGTGAACACATAGGGGGTATCGTTATTTCCACAACTCCCGAACCATAGCGCCAATCCCACCAAATTGTCTCCGTAGAGGAGAGGGCTACCTACGCCAGGCGTACAATAGGCGGGCTCCACGCCTGCAAACACAAATTTATACAATAACTGTAGAAGTAAATTAGGTCCATTGAAAATATGAATAAAAGTAGACGGGTGTTACTAAATAAACACCAAACTTAAAAATGTGACTTTAAAATATATTTTATCCCGGAAAAGTATATACACGAATAAACGAACTTAATTGTGCGACTCAATCCCTAGATACAGTTACTGTACCAAACGCAAATATAAGTTTGTTGAATGTTAGGTTGCCCGCAGTTACGTTGTAACTGGAATGGTTGATTTTAGCTTGAACCGGTGTTATAAATGTGAAAATATGTGAGTTTGTGTGATTGTGTGTATGTTTGTTACTCAGTCACATCAAAACGACTGATGGGACCAGGATGGAACAGAGGTACATTGTAATCTGGAGTAACATATAGGCTACTTTTTACCCCTGGGAACGCGGGCGTA